GCAGTAGTGCACTCGTCTAAGTACAGAAGAAGAAGAAGAAAGCACCCTGAGTTTGATGCCTAAAGCCGGTATTACTTAGTTGCTACTTTAAATGTTTTGTCGTGCATGCTTGGCGGTGAAGAAAAATATCACGAGGTAACCTGTAAGTCCAAGGAATGAAATATTTCAAGGCCGTGTGAATTCCACCAACACGCACTGGCGCATTTATTGCTTCGTAATCTCTCGCGAGTAGGCCTGGAAATCAGCAGTGAGACGTATTTCGGTTGTAACTTTGTCATAATTGCAATGCAATATGCAAATAATATGTACTGTAACTTTTTAAGATAATAATTTGGCTGGTTTTTTCCTAAGCGTACCCCACACATCACATACTTATTATGTTTTACGAATTTTATTGTTTACATAATATTGAAATATACTTAAAATTAAAAAACTACGATAAAAAAATAAAACTGATAAACTATCATACAGTTCTACTTCCCATGGTATCGTGCCAAGAATGCTAGCTGCGTTTCCTCGGTGATTGGCTATACATAGCCTTTGAACGAGAAACTAATCAGCCCTCACCACCAGTAGCAACGACCAGTCGCGGTTAGAGTTCCTTTAGGAACTTCACAGCACGTGGACCCCGCGAGTTGATGGTCTCTTCAGCAAATGGCACAAATATAGACTCATATTTGCGCCACTTACTTAGATCAGTTGCCTCTAATGTCAGCTCTAAACGTGGTACCCCTGAGATGAGAGGCAGCCAGTGTCTACGCAAGTAGCATCCCACACTGGGGCCTTACCTCTCTCCGAAGGAACCAATGTCATATCGTCGAGTCTCCTGTCATCGTCTTTAAATATTCCACAAAGCTCTAAAACCGGGGGTACATTTATACATACAAGAGCTCTTCGAAAGACATCGTTCACATTATATTAAATTAATTAAGAGGATTGTGAAGCTGTAAATTTTCATACAAAAAGCGATAACGTTTTTCATAAAGCGTTTACAAAAAGCGATAACTATTGCGTAGGATGTAAGTTATTAATATCACAATATCTATATTTTTGACATTAAAAACTTTCTCGAGTGTTTTTATTTTTTTTTTTAATTAAACTAATCTGAATTACTAAAAAATGAAAACATAAAGACCTAGATTAAGATGTATTGAGTCTAATGTGATTAAAGTTGTCTTATTTTGTAAAGGTTTAGGGGGTGTGAAAACGTTATCGCCCGAAACAATATTTCAAAAAGGAAATGTAGGCAATTGCTTCCAAGACTAGAAATTCTATTATATACTTTTTATATTATATACTATTCGTCACTTCACAATCCTCTTAAATGTTTATGTTTATTTGCTTCATATTCTGTTTATTCCATATTTTATTATTATTAACTAAGTTAATATATACGTTTTGAGGTGGTTCATCACGTAGTGACGGTGTTTCGTAAGAGGCGACAGAGGGAAACTGTAACAGAGGATGAGCAGCAGCATCTTCCTGATAACAATTCCAAATAATAAAAAAAAAACTGTGGTTGTGAAACCGCCTGCCAAGTGTGGCGACTATCATCATATCTTTCGTAAGGTATAATACAATTAATGGGGTGGAAATAAGTTCAGCAGTGGACTTTTTAGGTTAGATAAAATTGATGGATGGCATTTCCCAGTGTTGGCGTTTTGGAGTAATTAGTATAATCCCTTTCGCGCTATGCAACACCTAATACGAGGGGCACACTGAAATGATCGGGAATAAGAAAACCACTTGCACGGTATAGCTAAACTGTATTTTATTGTTTTTCGAAGTATTCTCCGTTCAACTTAATGCACTTTTCTATTCGGGCAAACCAATCATTAAAACAGTAATTCCAGTCTGAAGTTGATGTTGACAAAATGGCTGATTTGTACGCTTCCACAGCTGCTTCGGGGTCTTCAAACCGTTGACCGCGTAATAAATCTTTCATTCTATGGAATGTAAAGAAATCTTTTGGGCTCAGGTCAGGACTGTACGGAGGATGGCTAATCAGCTCAACAAAAGGTTTCTAAAAAAGGTTTTATTGTAACACCATCTGAAATATTCTATTCCCGATCATTTCAGTGTGCCCCTCGTATGCTCTATAAATAATATTAATAAGACTACGGACTTTCATAAGGTACAAGATCCTGACACACCACTCGCTTTTTCATATCCTTAATATCTAAGCATATATGTACCGTATGTTATACTATATGTGTACGTAGGTATGTGTTTAGGGGTTACTGTTAATTTAGCCCATTTTCAATAAATCGCCAATTTGTCGATAACTGTTCGCTTGAAGCCCATGCCGACTTTGTCAATAAATAATTGTTGCTTCTTACCTCTTTTCTCATTCATTCTTTCTGTGTCCAAACCACGGAAATATTTCTTTCTAAGTCCTGGACCCTAAACATCGTCTTGCAAACCACAGTCTCTCTTATCACACAGTTTTTCACCGTACTATTCAGTCACTCCTTACAGACTTCTAAATGACCGCGTTTCTACACAAGCTAACAAGCAAGCAAGTTTCTACACAAGCTAGTAGTACCAGTTACTCGACTCCACCGAGTCAGTAATTCATTCTTGGGGCGATGTATACGCTTTTACAACAAAATCCCAGAAAATATACAAAATTTGTCATACGCAAAGTTCAAAAATTTTATTAAACTAAGTTTGTATAAAAAGGGTTATTAAATATTAAGGAATTTATGGATGATAATAACCCCTGGGAAGGGTGATCGATACCAAGCTATTTCTAATTTGTCTTGTGTTGTTAATTGTAAACATGATTGTAAGCTATTATTTGAAAAAAATAATAGTCCCGCTGGGTTTCTTGCTGGTTCTTCCCAGGATAGAGGTTTTTTTTGCGAACCAGTATTAAATGAAAAAATTGACTTTCAATAAGTATTGTTTATAATCTACATTAAATAAAAAAAGTTTCTGTTTCTGTATCTACAGCATTAATTTTACTCCTGCGCTTCTGCCTTACCCTACTTTAACTTCCAATACAGTAAGGTAATATAATACACATCACTGTAAATTTCCTAACATGTATTTTTGGCTGCTTACCACAATACAGTGAAGAACCCCATTCACCTGTGTCCTACATACACTCTTCCTTCTATATACATGTCAATTCTACCACCATCCCTGCTAAGTTAAATATTTCTAAGGAATGTTTTAAGTGAAGGTTTCTAAATAAAGAAAATGAAAACGCTAATATGGTAACATTGTTATTTATTTTACAGGAAATTCTAACGATTGACAATAAAATCCCACATGTGGAAATCTTACAAAATTAATGTCAACACTTAATTAGTAATGCGAATTGATATGACTCTACATTTCGATCTTTACCGTGATTAATATTCCCAATATTGTAATTGAATGTGTACATGTATACAGACTTGTTTTAGAGCAAAATCTATGGGATCAGTAGAACATATTATGATCTGTTGTTAATATAGGTTTTGCTTCAACTAATACCCGAGATAATTGTTGAAGAGGTAATTATGTAACGAAAAATGTAACCAGGTAAACAAAATAAGTGTCTTGTGCGAGCTTACTTTGGCTTATAAAAATAAACATAAATTACAAAAAATGTTTTACAGAGTTGCCAGGTATAGTCTATTTAATATATTATACATCGCAGAACACAACGTGTCCATTTTTAAAATTACAGCTTGTATGCGAACTCCTTTTCCAAATGTTCCGCCAAAAACTGCACTCGTCTCCCCTATGACAGGACGTCTTTTCCGCACTCCTTTATGTGTTGCGTTAGAGGATGGACAATTTAAGGTTTTCCAACAGGTCGAGTGAGGATCTAGAACCACTCGTAATGCTTATTGTTTTTTCGTGTTGTTTTTTGCCAACTGAACCGCCTTGTAAAGTGCATAAAGTTCCGTTTGGAACGTGTTACACGAAGGGGCTAAGCTGAATTTAGAGTAACGGATTTCCTTATCTTCCTCCCACCAAGTGCCCTAGCTCCAACACTTCCCTCTATCAGAACAAAGAAAGATAAACGCAGCGCTGCACTTACATTTTTTACACACACATCACCTTTCTTTTTAAACAGTATGTCAAAGTTTATTGCTTGACGCGCTCATATACACATAAAGTCATGTCGGTGATTGAAAATGATTGCGTAAAATATATATATATATATATATATATATACAATAACTTAAACAAAGTTTTGGCTTGGTTTCGGCATCAATTTAAATGTACGCAGCGCTCCTTTCAGCTTTCTTTGCTGGTCTGCGGGCAGACTAACTACTAAATAACGGAGCAGACTCTGGCGAACTATTATGAAAATCAATCTAAATCTAAATAGACTAAAAATAAAAACCACAAACTATGTAAAGAAGCAGCACTATTCACAAGTCTACTGCTGAACATTGGCTTCGTTCCTGGGAACGAAGCAACAGGAAACGTTTTTGTGAATTTTAGCTTATATTTAAATGGCGACACACCTTCATCAATAATGTGGCAACATAGTCAATGTCTAACAAATATCGACATAAGAAAATAAATTTAACCGGGTGGTACAGTAATGCACAAGCTCTTAACAATATTGTTACATAAGTAAATACAAAACGATATGATTTCATCCAGTTCGTTCAGTCTTCGTAGTTTGTAAGTTCCAACTATGGCCCAACTACTATGTATTTTTTTAAATTGCTTTTCGTATTAACATTTGACTTTAAAACTATATACAACGCTTCTAAACGTTATAACAATTGGAAATATTGCGAATTAGCTATATAACAGAAACTTGTATCTTAAAAGTAGGTATCTACAACGTCATGCTATTTTACAAAAACGAAATCAGAATAAAAATAATACTGTTAAAATGATGTTTTTTGTTAAATGCTGAAGTAACAGGCTTATGAAATTTCAAAAAAAATACTCTATTCAGTTTTACGATTCCTCAATAACGATTTCAAATCTAAATTCTAAAGACGGCTAAGAGTTTCTACGACGTAAATTCTAAAACCGTTTAGTTATTTTGCTTTCTCTTTTTCTGCTTGTGCCGCTAACTTTGCTTCTTTCTTCGCTTTCTTTTTCTCTTCTTTTGCTAATAATTTTGCTTGTCTTTCTTCCTCTTTAGCTAATAATTTAGCCTGTCTTTCCTCTTCTTTAGCCTGAAGTTTAGCTTCTTTTTTGGCTTCTTTCTCAGCTTTGAGCCTTAATTTTTCTTCCTTCTTTCTCTCTGCCATATCATTTTTCTTACTATCACAACTCTCATCCTTTTTACTTTTCTCTCCTGGCTTAACCTTTTCCTCTTCTTTCTTTTTCTTATCTTCTTTTTTGGGCTTTGTTTTGGGGTTATCTTTTTTCTTGTCAGTCTCTTTGCTATGGTCTCTAGATTTAGGGGAATCGTCTTTATTTGAAGGTTTTAGAGGTCGAAAGAAATGTTGTTTGTCTTTCTGTGGTGAAGTTTCTAGCTGCGTCACTATTTTCTGTGCGCACCTGTAAATATTATACAGAATATATATATATAATATTTACTTTTATATTACAGAACGCAGAATACCAGCGTAAAATAGCAACTTAATACTGCTGTGTTTCGTATGTTGAGTGTAGGGATCCGGAGACCTTTTTTTACTGGAAACGAGACATTCCATCTTAGTCCTCAAGGGTGACAACACATCTGCGTTTGGATTCTTAATTGAGAATAAAGGCAGATAGATGTCTATGGGCCACAGTATCCACTTACCATCAGGTGGACTGTGTGCTCATTTGTCACCCTTATTCTATAAAAAAAGAAACATTTCATTTTGCCAAAAGAATAAATTATTCTAAAGTAGTTAGAAGGTGGTTGGACTCCAACCTTTTCTGTACATGACTTCGTCCGAGTAGGCACCATCCTCGTTCCTATTTCTGTCGCCAAATAGTAGTGCTTGTACTGCTATTTCGGTCTGAAGGATATAGAGAGCCAGTATAATTATTACAGGCTATATGGCATTCCATCTTAGTCCTCAGAAGTACAATGCAACTGTAGTCTACTATATTATTTCAAGTTGACTGAAGGTATCCATAGATTATAGTAAAAACCTCCTCTAACTTCTGTGAGGGTTTTAGGGCAAGGAAGTGTCCGCCGCGCTGCCCCAATCCGTGTTGGCGGGTTTCAAATGTCTTCAAAATATTTTCTTTTTTTATTTCTCAGACATGCAGGTTTCCTCACGATGATTTTCTTTACCGCTGAGCATGTGGTAATTAGGACTTAAAATTTCTATTAACAATTTCATTTGCGCTGGCGGTAGTCGAACCCGTATTGCTCGCATACTGTGAAATTAGGCAACAGCGAGCGTTAATCCCCTGAGCTACCACGGCTTACCATACACTATAGTAGCCAGATACAATTGGGTGGACTGTAAAGTCGTTTGTCTCCCCAGTTTTATAAAATAAAGAATAAAGTTCATTGTTCGTCAAAAAATTCTCTCACTATTGTAAGAGTACTAACCGGAGGAAAGAGGCCGCTTCGCGGCTCCGGATCGAGATAATGGATGTTTTCGAAATATATTTTGTTTGTAGAACAAACAGCTTTCTTGCGATGTTTATCCACACATACAATTACTGATCTTAGTAGTGCCATAATTTAACGCTAATTAACAGCCGTAAGCTCACGTAACACCTGTTACGAAATTTAAGGCGGAAGCTATCTAATTAAGTTATAACCATCAGATGGTCAGCTTGTTTGAAACTCCAGTTTTATAAAAGAGAAGTTAATTATATAACATAGTTATGGTTATTGTAGGTGAATTAAAATATCATGAGGAAGAATATTTTTATCTGTCGACCTTATTCTAGTAGAGCCACAAGAAGTGGTCGCACTTTCGCGTCTACCCTCGCGGAACTCTCGCTGGAATTCTCTAATAGGAGGCAGTCGCCCCGAAGGCTCGCCCGCAGGTCCGCCCGTATAACTATGGTATTCTTGCAGTCGAGCCTGGAATGAAATAGGAAATTGAAAAAGTGTTAAAGATAAGATAATAGAATCGCTGATATTACTCAATACAGCCCATCATAAGATTTAACTGCCTTATATATGTTTGCTCAAGAGACAACTATTTATTGTATATACAGTATACACATGGAATCACATCAGACACAGAGTCTTTCACAGATGTTTTTCTCTAAAACTGAGTCTAAGGGCTCCAGTATTCATTGATCATTAGGTGGACTCTGTGCTCGTTTTACCGTCACCTTAACTTCTATAAAAATATAAAGATTACTAGACAAAGACAAGACATCTGTGACAATCATGAGGACAAAGACAAATGCATCACCTTCGTCTTTGGTACTTTGGTACCACCGCTTTATTTATATCTGCTGCCAGCAGCAGGGTATCAACTGCAGTGATCTGGTTTGAAGGGTATGTGAGTCTGTATACTGACTGAATGTGAGGCATTTAAGCCTTAGGACTGATACAGTTACAGTCTATGTACGTCCCAGAGTTAGGCATAGGCATTCTCTTATGTTTGTGAGGATTATAGATGAATGAGTCCGCCACGCTTCTCCAGCGCATTCGTCTTTCCAGTAATCTCTTAAAATTTATATAGTAGATATTCTTACATCGCCACTACACGACCAACATTATACAGGTATATTATAATATTACAGTTTATACTTAAACATTATTAATGGGTACCGGTTTAATCAATTAAAAAATAAATTATTACATTGTATGTCTTCTTGAAAAATGTTTGTTGATTGATTATTAATTTATCAAATCAAGCGGTATTGATAAAAATATTTTTTGGTATATAAAACTTTTCTTACGTTACGAAAATGAAAACTAACATAAACGAAAGATGTTTTATGCTGAAAGGGAACTCTGTTCCATTACATTTATAACAACGAGAAAATGTAAATTCGCGACGGGATCCATTACGCATTCACTTTGTAGGCGCTGCATTATTTAAAACTACGTTAATGGGTTCTAATAATATTATAGACATAATAGTTTTAGAATACTAAATTATGCGCTACCGAGTCCGTTATGTATCAATATTTCCTAACATTGTTTACTTTCATCGATATAATATGAAACCAAAAAAATTACTGTTACACAAAATGCATTTTTGGAACAAGTACAAGCTAGTTATACCAGTTACTTGACTCCATAGAGTCCGTAATTCCTTAATGGGCCTTGGGCTAATGGGTGTATTAAAAGCTTTTAGAAAGTCCTTGATAATATGCAGGGCATATTTATCACAAGCTTAAAATTTTTGATTAAACGAGCTGTTAACAAATAATAATAATTTCTGAGAATGGGGTGATCGTTACCATGCCACTTCTTAATGTTTTATATTTAATCAACAGTACAAATCAAAAATACAATATTGTAAATTATTATTTATTTAAAAGGAATCCGACGGAGTTTTCTGCGAGTTCTTACCAGGGCAGGGGTTTTTCGATACTAGTGGCAAAAGCATAAATGATGTTCAGTAAGTATTAAATCCATTCAAGACTACCACTGTAAATAGGTCTCATCATAGGTTTACCATATACGATTGGCAAGCGGGTTGGCAACCAATGTTTTTTTTATTTTTTTTTATTAGTAAGTCGCTACTGCCCATCTCCTGATTTGTTATCCCGTAACGTATTAACTGTAATCTTTTTTTTATAGAATAAGTGTGACTAACGAGCACACAGTCCACCCGATGATAAGTTGATGCTGTGGCTCATAGGCATCTAAATTTATCTTCAATTATGAATCAAAATGCAGATGCGTTGTCAACCTCTGAGGACTGAGATGGAATGCCTCGTTTACTGTATAAAGAATCCCCGGTTCTTTACTCTAACCATACAAAACACAGCAACATTAAGCTGCTATTTTATACTGACATTCTGTTCCTATCCCGGTTGAGTCGATCCATTCGTGCTGCAACCACAATATAGCCGCAGCATGGCTTTAACATATAAAGCATAAACATGTAATCTATAATAAATAACAATTATTCTATTCTTTGGTGGTGTCCAGTGTGATTTATTATTGAGCTCGATAAGATTTAGGTAATCTCTAGGTTAATCTATTGTGCAAACTCCAAAGAGGTAAGTAATTTAACCAATATAAATAATAATTGTACTCCCAAACAAATATTCGGTTGCCAATTGAGTCTTACAAAGCATTTCTTTAGGTAGTCTTTTACATATTAAACGATGTCCTCTTAGCCGATTTTATACTTCGATGACACTCAGCCCTGGATTAAACTAAAGGCAAAATAAGTAACATCCTATAGGCCCGCGTCAGTAAAGAGTACTACAGTTTTAGTATATACGATGTAAGAAGTTTGAAAAAGGAAGAAATATCCCATTGCATTTTTTTTCAGTGAGTTGTAAGTAAGCAAGAAAGCACCTTCATGCTATGATGTTGCGAACGTCGTAAAGAATTAGAAGCGGGCTGGCGTGGTTTCGGCGGCGCAGAACCTGACGGTGGTCGAGGGATAGCTCCAAGACAAGCCCCACCACATTTAGCTCCACCACATAACTTGGTTGTACAGCTGCTGCTTACATTACCACCACTGTTCGACGAAACGGAAGACACTCCTGAGAATAATAAGGTTTATAATAATTATTAATAATATCATTTACAATTGCATCATACTGCAATGTTTTGTAATGAGTACAGGGTGTAATAATTTTGTCTGTCTTGCCGTTTGAAAGTTTTTTTTTTAATTTAAACCCCGACGCAAACAGTTGGATGTTATAAGTTTAACGGGTGTAACTGTGTATCTGTGTGTTTCCCGTGGCATCGTAGCTCTCAAACGGATGGACCGATTCAGATTTAGTTTTTTTTTTTTTGTTTGAAAGGTGACTTGATCGAGAGTGTCTTTAGCTATGATTCAAGAAAATCTTTTCAGCCATTTGAAAATCATTAGCTCCTAATTTAATACCCACGCAAATATACACCTATATTCGTTATCTGTGTATCTATGTAACTAAGTATCTGTACGTTTGTCTGTCTGGCATTAAAGCTCCCTAACCATGGAGTGTAGAGGTAAGGAGGACCGTCTCTGTATATTAAAAAGTGTCCGTAGAAAAGCGTTAAATAAAGGTGGCACCACTGTAGCTAGAGGGTAAATTTTAAAGAATATTTATAACTTTTTATTGCACAAACTTTCTACTATAATTCTTTTTATAATAATTATTTTATTGTTTTCAAAATTTATACTTTCAAAATCACTCTCAACGTGTTTCACGGCGACATTTTCTAGGTTATATTTACTAAATTATTTTAGACAACGTAAGTAGTTGAGGTTTTAAATACTGCAGTAACATCAACTATTCTAGTCACCATAAATATTAAAGTCCTCAACTCAACAGACTTCACTCTGTCTACAACTGCTAAGTTCATTTCATACTCTCTAGCTATTCTAGCGCTATTGTGGAGAGTTTTTGAACTGATATTTAATGCTTACACATGGACATTTTTTCAACTATTCTCTATGTGAGACGGTTCTCCTTATCTCTACACTCCATGTCCTAAACTGATAAACAGATTTTCATTTAATTTTGACCCTTTTGTTATAAGTTTAAGATAAAAATTATATTACAAATTTCAAACACCTTAGAATTGGATCTTTTTATTTAAATTTCTATGGAATCTACTCTGAATATCAACTTTCTTTATAATAAAAAAATAATTATTCAAATCTCTTCAAACTAGCAAAACTTGTACAAAGAAAACACAGTCGTACATAAAGTACAGTCTAATTAAAACCTCCTCTTTTCTTTGAAGTTAGCTAAATATTAAGCGAATTGGAAATGACAGCGGTATGGGTTGCTGCCGTTCGGGACCCCAAAAAGTTCCATTTTCGTAAATATCATTAAAAATATAAAATTGGTAAAAGTCTTCCATAGTCGTTGTAAGTCAGTGTATCCTTGGCAAGTGTGTGTGAGTGTGTGTGATTTTCTTAATTTTATGATGCAGCTGTTTCAGGATCATTCTTATAGCATTCTTTAGGGGAGGCCTATATTTAGTAGTGGACTTTTGATGAGCTGTAATGACGATTATGATGATGATTTAAAAGTTAAGTCGGGAGCTGTCTTTCTTTCCAAAAATGCAGCTTTCTATAATCTGCCGCCAGAGCCAATGGGTTCCTGGGTTTCTCCCCCTTTGTTACTCCACTGATAATTCAGACATTTTTTTGTTGACGTTATAAATTAAAATATCGTCATTTCTTTTAAATTTAGAATCGTTTCAAAGTGACGATTGAAAAGATGAAAAAACAGTGAATAATTATGGAAATTAATTGAAAAATTATACACAAATTAGAGTAAAACCGGCAATAATATGAACTGTACCGGAGAGGGAAGATTCACCGCTGGTGACGGAATAGAGCGAGGCTGAGGCGGGCACTGAACGTGCACCCACAGAGTAGCTCGACACCGAGCCGGGCACGCCCCAGCACTTGCTGTTGCTACTCGATACCTGTCGAAGTATATGATTTTTATATTTAGTCTTCTTAACAGTTTTCGTCATATGGAATGGTTATAGGTAGTGAATAAAAATATCCTTGATTGTTTCCGGTCCATCACGGCAATATCAGGTCGCAAAGATAGTCCTATTTCTGATGATAGCCCAGTTCCAGTAGAGCCTGATGTCGACTATTTAGTTAGATATAACAACCTGATCCTTCAATGCACGGATAAAACCCTTGGTTTCTCCAAAGAGGTCATCGAAACGTAGCCAGTGCAAGGCCTTCTAGAACCTCCTGTGAAACTCCTTATCCTTAAACAAGGGCTCCCTGCAATGGCTGCACTACCGGGTCCTGCCATTGTTTGTTGGCTCTGGATAAAGGGGTAAATCTTTTATCACACGTAATGAATGACCGTCCGTGTAGAATGGCCATCCGATCTCGTGAGGAAGTAATTACGAAGGGTTGCATACTGCGACTATGCATGATGAGAACACTTAAAATGCCACACCCACCATAATTCCACGGCAATTAAGCTCATGGCTCATTAGCGACGATCTCGGATGGTGCATCCTACTGTAAAATAGTAGCTTAATACTGCTTTGTGTAGTGTAGACTGTAGAGATCTGGAGACCCTTTTTACTGGAAACGGGGCATTCCATCTTAGTCCTCAGGGGTGACAACGCATCTACGATTCCATTTTTAATCGAGGATAAATGTAAATGTCAATGGGCCACATCATCCACCTTCCATCAGGTGAACTGTGTGCTTGTGTGTCATCCTTATTCTATAAAAAATTACTTTTATTTGATTTGATTGCCTTTTTTGTATATAAAGTGCTTGAACAACAATATACTTTAAGTGGTCTAAGCAATCTTCGCAGTTAAGCAGAGTTACGTGAGTTTAGTAATCGGATATGTGACATTTGATTGATAGTAAGAGAGTCAGTACAACTAAAAGTATAGTTACAGTTGTGATTGATCTGTGGACTACTTTGATTAAAAGTTGATTGTGTGTGAAGTTGGCTATGGGGTACAAAAGGTACTTAATATCATCACCCGAATAAAGTTGTTACTCGCATATTTATAAAAATAAGATCAAGACAAATGACCTGGCTATAGACTGAATACGTAATGGGCAACAAATACCTTTTTTGTACCAAATTTCGGCATAGTCTCATGACATTTTGTCCGTGACACACTTTTTCAATACCGAAAACTTACTTATTGATTAACCGATATAATTTAAATTACACCTTCGTTGTTTCAAGTAATGGTCATTAATAACACAACTGTAAATAAAAAAACTATGCTTTTTTTTATGTTGTCCTTGAGAATTAAGTAAACATTAATGGGAAGCAGAGTTCTTTGAACCGATAATCAAACAAAAGATAAAATTCTAAATTTTGTATAACCAACTTCAATACAATCGGATCAATAGGTTTTAAAGTCAATTAAATACGTGTTATTTAAGGATAACCCAAAAACTACTTATCAGATCTTGATCAAATTTATATGGACCTACGTGAGAAGGACCAGCTTTCAAATATAAAAAGAATCATTAAAATCGGTTTACCAATAAAAAGTTTTGAGGTAAAACACATAAAAACATACAGCCGAATTGAATATCTCCCTAGTGGCGGCGCAAGACCTAAATTTTATGTGGGCAAGATACATTTTGCGAGGCCCTCTGCCTAACAATTTCAAAGAAAAATGAAGAAATAGATATTCTGCTTTTTATCCTGCAGAATTGTTTAATTATAACGTCATAATCCAGCTTGGATGCTATATCTGCCTCGATAGATAAAACTTTCAACGCTGAAAGTCTTTTCTGTAACATTGCATTCCTGAGTTAATTTTTAATGAGTACTAATTTTAAGAAGATTCCTTCAGCGGAGGCTGTACTGATCGGTATTGTTAAATGACGATGTAAATGTTTGGGTATATTTTTTAAATTATTTTCTGTAACTTATTGGAGAAGCTGTTTCACACCTGATACGAAGTTAGGTAAATTAGGGATCATTAATTGTAATTCCTCATATAATTCGTAAGGTTGAAAGTCACTACTTTCACCCATTCACGGGGCTGTGTGTAAATCATGACAGTTATTTTAATATTAGATGGTTTGGAATATTTTTTAACTTGTTTATCACAAAGGAAACCAAAATTTTCATAATGTGGGTTTAAAGCCATAAATCTCAAATCCAAATTTGTTATAATTGAACAAACATGGTGTTAAAAATCTGTTTAATACCGACTTTTAGGAGACTATATAGGTTAATCCTTGCCTTCATAATCCAACACCTTCTTCTTTTTGGCTACTCTTTTATTTTTAAAGTCTTTTGGCAGATCATAACAGTTTTTTTTAATAAACTGATACCAGACAAGCATTTTTCGAAACAAGTTTGTCGATATTCTTTAATCCAGTCACAAAATGTACGCAAACGTTCTAGAGCTTTAATTTGTCTTCACCTATAGTGACAACCCTATCAAAATAGGTAACAATTTTGCAAGTACTTAAGAAGCTTTGTGTCTGTTCCGTTTATCTACTCATGTGCGTACAGCGCGAAAATATACGTATGACAACCACGTGGGCTGCTGTACCGCACTCTTTACTCGATTGCCACGCGCTCACCATTGAATAAAATCAGTATTCTGTCTAACAAACAGAACGGGAAATCCTCAGCTTTTGTCGCCCCCATAGATTACTGTGGGTATGTTCCGAAACGTTTTCAGTATACTGCCGAATACAAATGACGTCATCAATTGACACTACATTGAACTGGCGTGCTGCCGCCATATTGCGTCGGATATCCGGCCATAATAAAACAATTTTTAATTGTGTGTGCGCTGAATGAAGCATGCCAGAATTTGTTTTTATTTATTCAAATACAAAAAATTATAGAATAATTGTTGGTATCTCCATTAGGAGGATAGGATGATTTTTGGAGCACAAAATGACAAAATAATCGCCAACACTTTTCCAATATGGCGCAAATGTATGACGCCATGTACTGTCCTACGTTTTGGAACGCATCACCAGCATAGCGTCGATTCATGACGTCATTTGCATTGGACATTACACTGGGTTCTATTTTGGAATATACCCTGTATAGACTCGTATACTGGTCGCCCCGTAGCGGGGATTCCCCGCAATAGCAACGCAAACTAATGTTGCTAGACTGAATAAAAACGTATTTAGTTATGTCAATAGTATTGATTCATGACAATGAATTTTTTTCGGCGCGTTTACGGTTTTAAGTAATGCGTAAGCTTCCACGGCGCGAGGCCTCCTGGATCGCGAGGCCGTAGGCGGTGGCCCACGTCGCCCACGCCTTACGCCGCCTCTGTATCTCCCCCCTTTTTGAAGTCGGTAAATAAAATGAGAACATCATCAATGTAGTCGAAGTCAATTAATACGCATTATTAAGGATAACTTAGAAAGTACGTGTCATCTTTTAATTAAAAAAAAAGAGTCATCAAAATCGGTTGACCTAGAAAAATGTTCTTAGGTAACATACATAAAAAAAAACTTTACAGTCGAATTGAGAACCTGATCCATATTTTTAAATCCGTTGAAAATAGCGGCGTTAAATATTACCCAATACCCGAATAAAAAATGTTTGTGTATTTTATATTTTACTAACTTGCCAGGCAGACGTTGTTCTGCCCTTTTCGACGACCCTTTGTCATGACTTTTTAAAAATCTTTAAATTCGCAAAAAAAAAATTGTGGTAAAATACTCATGGGCACAAAAACTATCCTATCTCTCAAGTTGGACCAAGCTGCACACGGTGTGCAAATTTGAATAAAATCGGTTAAGTAGTTTAGGAGCCCATCGCGGACAAACATTGTGATACGTAATTTATATATATTAAGATTTACTTAGAAGACATAGCCAAGGCTAAACAATGAGGACAATATTTCCATATATTATTAAACTCTTTGCTGTCTAAAGTATTTTTAATATAAATATATTAAAAAATAGCTCGCGGCGAAATTACGACGTAGCACTCACCTGCCAACTCTTGCTGGTGACAAGCCGGGGCGCCTGTCTCAGTCGCAATATCTTGGCACGGCAGATGACGCAGCGCAGAGGCAGCAAGCGCTGGCTCACCGCCATCTGTATGGTCTTCACGAAGCACCGTCTGCAAACCACGCGGTGGCCGCAAGGCGACGTCTGCATCGTAGCTTTCGCATTCACACAAATTACACACTGGAATATAAAAGAAAGTATTGTAATTAATCTGGTAACATGGTAGATGTATCATCATCAACATAACCATAATTGGATGTAGATAGTATTTTTGGTAGATTTTATTACTTTTATCATGTAAAATATAGAAAAAATGCTAAAATTCACTTAAACATTCAGATATTAATATTTTATAATATATTATAATTTATATATTATATAATATACAATAAAATATATAAATAAAATAAATAATAAATTTTATGATACTTAATACGTAAAATGTGACAAAATTAAAGTGAGGGGCTTGCAATAAACCAACCAACCTGAATTAAAAAATTCAGTTTCAGAATAGCTTTGGGGTAAGAGGTAAGTTAAAGATAAGACCGATTATACGTGTCAGTGTTAAAGGCACGCAGTTCACTAATCCTAAACGGGCACTGTTGGCTGTTTATCTTCGATCGAGATGTCGGTGCGTCATTATCTCAAAAGACATAAAAATGTTATTTTTCAGCGGAGGCGCCTTACACTAGCTACGGATAGGTACGGTGCGGTGTGTTGTCCATACGTACAACACGAGCAGTGGCCATTCAGAACAATGTCAGACGTTCATAACGACAAAAAATAAAGGTTACTGTTGCTAACTATATTTTTTTAAAGTATAATGGTGACAAACGAGCACACAGTCCACCTGATGGTATGTGAATTACGGTTGTGTTGTCACCCATGAGGACATATGCCTCGTTTTCAATAAAAAGTTTCTCCGGTTCTCTACGCTCATCATAAGGAACAGCATATTTAGTCTGCTACTTAATGCTGGTATTCTGGAAGAGCGTAGCGTTTCCCCGGTTAAGCTCGTAGTAGAGCCGTGCTGCAGTTATATTAGTAGTATAGTTGTGGCACGAATGGGTGGCTCGACCGGGAGAGGATCACACACGATCACAGAATACCAGCGTAAATTAGTAGCTTAATGCTTCTGTGTTTCGTATGGTGAGTATAGAGGATCGGAGAGCCTTTTTACTGGAAATAGTGCATTCCATCTTAGTCCTCAGTCGTGAAAACGCATCTGCATTTTGATTCGTAATCGAGGATACATGTAGGTGTCTAATGTATATGGACCGTAGCAACCACTTACTATCAGGTAGACTGTGTGCTCGTTTGTCACCCTATACTACAAAAAACTGACCCATTCGTGATTCAACCATAATTTAGCTGCAGGGCAGCTCTACTACGTTAATCGGTCGCGTTAGTCATAATGCCACACTGCACGCTCGCGTCGCATCTTGGTTTATCACCAGAATGAAGGCAGAATGACAGCAACTGTATCCTTAGAATGCGTTACGTTACCGCCATACTAGGATTTTCTCATAGTACGGGCAGTTTACATACATAAATTTCATTATAGAATTTCAGAATAAAAATCAAGACCCTTGTATATTTGTAGGCCATACAAATACTTATTCCGTGCGGGATTCGTACCCGAGGCACTCAGTACTGCAGCTCAATGATTAGAGATCACGTCCTTATTGTTTCGAAAAGATACAAAAAATATAAATATTTTAGGATAAAGATTATGTGGCTAGAATAGAATAGAATATTTTTTAGTCAATATAGTAGCTGCTGGGCGTAGTGTACAGGAGGTACTAATGAAACTTCAAAAAGAGTTTGACATACTGACGAAGTGGTACTTTCTACGTGGTAGAGTCATGCTGCAGTTATATTAGTAGTATAGTTGTAGCACGAATGGGTCGGCTCGACCGGGGAAGGACCACGCTCTCACAGAATACCAGCGTGAAATAGTAGCTTAATGCTGCTGTATTTCGTATGGTGAGTGTAGAGAACCGGAGACCCTTTTTACTGAAAATGAGGCATTCCATCTCAGCCCTCATGGGTGACAACGCATCTGCATTTTGATTTGTAATGGAAGATAGATGTAGATGTCTATGGGCCGCAGCAACCACTTACCATCAGGTGGACTGTGTGCTCGTTTGTCAGCCTATTCTATAAAAAAAAAAGTGGTCACACGACGTCGGTTTAGTACTCAATGCTGCCAAAACTAAACTTATGTATATAAGTACAAGCCACAACAGAAGTTCTTTTATACCTAAACTAATAGCGCACACACATCACTGCCTTCATATACAAAATACTGACAATTCGACACCCTGTAATTGCGATGCCATAGAAATTGTAAATAAGCACACCTATCTTGGTCTAATAATTGACGATCGGCTAAACTGGAAAGAGCATGTAAATCGTGTTTGTGATATATTAAGAGGGATATTAGCAAAATTTACATTAATCAAATACCTTATAAAACCTCTTTAATGCTCCATAAATCCTTAGCTGAATCTGTTATACACTATGGCTTGTCAAGCTATGGGAGAACCTATAAAACATATCTAGATCGAATATACTCACTTCAGCTGCGCATTTTAAAACAAATAGTCCCTAATAATCTCAAAATTAATTTTAAAGATGATTATCGAAAACTATTTGCATTTTGTAAAATTATACCTATTCACGACAAAGTTGAACTAACATTACTAACTGAAAATTACTTTACTGAAAATTTTAAAAAGGTAGATAAGTTATTATACTCGGCACGCAGAACTGATAATGTAAAACTGCAATTACCTAGCTATAATAACTTATACGGAAAAAGAACTTTAAACTATGTTATACCTAATCTAATCAATCAGTTACCTAAATCTTTGAAAGACGTCATTACACGTAAAAACATAAAATATAAATTAAATTTTTTTTTATATGTACAATTAACTCTTACTAAATACTCGTAACACTTTAAACAACTTCTCGTTCTATATTATTGGTTTACTTTACCAACATATTATCTTATTATAAATTTATGAAAATTATGTTATAATCAGCCTGTATCACGATTATTCACAGAATGTAATGTTCACCTTGTGATTTTACGCTCATCGCCTAAAACTATTTTGTATTTTTGTACCCACAAATAGTTTGTCAATTAGAAACATAACATTTAATGCACCTAATTTAAGTTGATAATAATATTAATGTAACTTTGGTAATGTAATGTATTATAAAGTGTTAATTAGAATAATATGTCGATAGCAATGGTGTACGGAAAAACTTTAATGAGTTTATGTTTACACTAAAACTATTCATCTTTGTAATCATAAATTTCTTAAATAAATAAATAAATAAATAAAGTAATTCTTATTGAAAGTCAATATTTTACGTTACCACTACACACATGTATTCATTTATATCATAATAACCCTTTTTATACAGTTTTTGTTTAATTATATAACTTGATAATAGAGAGACCTTCTATATTTTCTGGGACTTTGTTCTAATAGCGTATACATTGCCCCAAGAATGAATTACTGACTCTGTAGAGTCGAGAAACTGGCGGCGCCAGCTTGTATTTGTTCCTAGTGTTTACCGAGTGTATGTCACTTTTTTACTAAAACTACCTTTATTTTTGTGAACATACATCAAATTTTCATAGATATGCTGAGAGGCCAAAGTTAATATATGGAGAGATCTATGTTCAACAGTGGATCTTTGATAGCGCAGTTTGAAGCTGTTTATATAAAATCCTATACAAAAATGAGCAGGGCAGAACAATAAAATAAAATAAAACAAAATTCTGGGACGATAAATTTCAACCAAGATTTAAATCCACTGTTTCCAGTTGAATACAACGACGTAGCTTTTTAAAACTTGACTAACTAGCGAAGTTAAAACTAAAGTTGAATAAAATTGTACAAAAAGTCCAGATATCTGGAGAAGTATTGTCGCATAAAAATTAATGCAAATTCTAGAACACTTTTTACTTATAAATATTGTGTCAATAATACTTCAAAATAATCATTTATACAAATTCTTTCTTTTTAATAGGTGAGGTAAATATCGCCTAATGGATATACCCGAAAGATAATATGGATTTCGACAGGCAGTAGTATAAACATTGTTTTGTACATTTATATATCGAAAGAACGTGTCGAAAAATTATACATAGGTACAGTCTAGGTTCGATATTATTTGTAATGTTAGACAAAATACTTTTACAGCTTCATTCAGTCGGAAGCTATGAAATATATATAGGCCTTAAAGTGTTACGTAAAAACTAAACTTTGAACATATAATTGAGCAAACAAATACGCTAACTACAAGTTTAGAGAACTTTAGAAGGATAAACAGCTATGATTAAATAAATTAATCACTTAATATTCTATTGTGGGGGACTCTTTAAGTCGCTGGTGCCGTGACGGATGAGCGCTTATTAAAAATCGTGTTTCTAACAGCCTTAGAACTAAATTGAAGTCTTCTACACAAAAGAAGTTACTTAGCTACGGCGGCGCAACGGTCTTTACGAAATTTGATATTTGCTGTCAGATACTACCTACTAAATTTTGAAAAGGTTGAATTAGTTTGCATATTTTCCGCGTGAAATCATAATTGAAACGGACTCGAATTATAAGTTCCTTTTTGTAATAAGACGGAAAACTCGTGGGTTTGAATATGTCAGCGATGACTACTAGATTGATTGACGACCTGGTAAGTGATGCAGGAAATCGATGGGTGCAGGTATCTCTGGACCGTGCTTTGTGTTATTCCCTGTATTCAGCAGTGGACTTGTAAAATATTTTTTTTAATTTATTCTTATAGAGTGTACATTACTTACATTTTAAATTTTGCCAAACTGTAAGCCAGTTTGTCGGCAAGGCTGAAATGAATGAATGAATGTCCAACTACTGTTATCATCATCATCATCACAGCCATTCACAAGTCCACTGCTGAACATAGGCCTCCCCCAAGGAACGCCACAAAGCACGGCCTTGAGCCACCTGCATCCATCGATTTCCTGCATGTCTTACCAGATCGTTACTCCATCTAGTAGGGAGACGCCCTACACTTTGCTTGCCAGTATATACCAATTGGGCTATGTCGGTCACTCTGGTTCTCCTGCGGATATCCTCATTCCTAAGTTTATCACGCAAAGAAACTCCGAGCATAGCCCTCTCCATAGCTCGCTGAGCGACCTTGAGCTTCTTCATACTGCCAGCAGTGAAGGACCACGTCTCAGATTCATAGGTCATCCCTGACAACACGCACTGGTTGTACAATCTAGTTTTGAGGTTTGGAGGTATGCCTGACTAGAAGATGTGTCGTAATCTCCCGAACGCTGCCATCGATTGACCTCTCGGTCGAAGTTGAACTTATCTAGTCGGACTACTTGTCCCAGGTAAACATACTCGTCAACAACTTCGAGCTTAGTGCTCCCAACAACCACCGGCATAGGTGTGACATGGACATTACACATGCATTTTGTTTTGTCCATGTTTGTCTTAAGACCTATCCATTGGGAGACACTATTGAGCTCGTTGAGCATAATGATCTTAGATCCTCCAGTGATTCTGCCATAAGGACTATATCGTCGGCAAATCGAAGGTGAGTGATGTACTCGCTATTGATGTTAATACCGTATCCTTTCCAGTCCAGTAGCTTGAAAACGTCTTCAAATACAGCGGTGAAGAATTTCGGGGATATTACGTCACTCTTTCTTACACTTCTCTGCCGTTGGATAGGTTTCGTACTCTGGTTCTATACTCGGATAGCCATCGTAGCCCTAGTGTCTCCCAACACTTTAGCACTTCGATATAGTGACAGTCAATTTGGCACCGCTGAAGGGACTGCAGCACCGCCCAAATTTCGACGGATTCAAAGGCCCACATACTCAAGATAATGTGGTAGATTGTACTCTTCGGACTTCTCAATAATTTGTCGAAGGGTATGTATGTGGTTTACGGTGCTAAAGCCTTTTCGGAAATCGGTTTGTACGGGAGGTTGGAGGTCGTCGAGTCTGTGTGCGAGACGATTCGTAATTACTCTCGAAAACAGCACAAGTTCAGAAGGAAAATCGGTCTGTAGTTCTTCAAGAGAGCGTTGTCACCTTTATTGAAGAGCAAGACCACCGCACTTCCGACTATAGTGAACACAACTATGGTGAACTACTGTCATAATGTGAAGAAAATATTATGAATGTTAAAAGTGCTATCTACTAAATATTATTGTACATCTAACAAAAAAGGCCTTTAAGAAAGGGTATTATGTTTTTTAGTCTTCGACAGGTGGTGGTATTTATTTTTGATAGTATGCCAGATGTGACCTGCCCAGAAGATTGACGGAAACCAGAATCAAAGGTGTGAGAAATTTGGTTCTCTATATGCCGTCGTTCGTCTCTATTTTCATCATTCAAGTGTATTAGCTAACTATTACAAGGTAACAAAGACTCAGGAGAAATTCATATTGGGTTAAGCAATTCTATATTTACAGATTTATAAATATGTATTATTAAAGTAGATCATTTGATGGTATATTGGACTCTTTTTTATAGGAAAAGGGTGATAAACGAGCACACAATCCACCTGATGGTAAGTGGTTGCTGTGGCCCATAGACATCTACATCTATCCTCGTTTGCGAATCAAAATGAAGATGCGTTGTCAGCCTTGAAGACTAAGATGGAATGCCTCTTTTCCAGTAAAAAGGGTCTCCGGTTCTGTACACTCACCATACGCAACACAACAGCATTAAGCTGGCTTACAGGCTGGTTAGAAGTAAAAGAAGAATAATACGAGGTAAACGTCTAGCTGGCAAGTATTAGCGCAGCCTGTAGATACTGGCAGCAATCTCTAATCAAAAAATATTATAGATGCGTTACCTAGTATTTTAAATTTACTAGTGAATAAAGCTTTTACATCTACCACATTTTCTTCAGACTGCCTCGTCCCCAAGTGTATGCGCAAGGCATACACTTGGGGACTATAATCCTGTCCTGTACCAATGTCTAGTTTCCGTTGAGGCAGCCGGCGTGACCGAAATTTGGTCTGGAGGACATTACATTTTCTTCTTCGATTGCTCGTATTAGTTTACAGCTGTAATTGGGCCCCTCCTGCTGTAGGAATAATTTGCTATAATCACCAGGTTTGGCAAGTAGATTAATATTATCTGACGTCTCCCACCTTGGACGCTACTCCTCTTTTCCGGTTTAAAGTTATTACATCTGGCGTAATCAAAATATTACCGTATACAATATTATGAAATTGGTTGGAAATATTGTCAGAGATACAGTAATAATCACAACAAGCCAAAATTTTAACACCAATTACTGATGTCTTTTCACACTCCAGTAGATATTTGGAGTCAAGACCCACCACATCTGTCACGCTTAGATTGTCTCTTGCTTAGCTTAGCGGATATTATTTAGTTACGTCGGCGTGACAGCAATGTATAATTTTTTTGTATTAAAACAAGAACATAATTAACTCCTGCTGTATTTTAACTTACTTCTTCCTCAGGAGATGAAGCTAATTCAGGCTCATTTTCCTCCAGTTTATTGAGCAATTTATCCTGTAACAAAAGAGAACAGTGATTAGCTACTTGATATTAATATTGATAGTGACGGAAATGGAAAAAGAATAAAATTTCTTGACATTTAGGTAAAAGAAAAAATATATAATGTTTGAAAGGAGCACGTGAAAAAGCGGGTATATTATGTAAATACTACACCGTATGTCAACAGTAATTTAAATATAAGTTGTCGGTTTTTAGGCATACTTTTAATATGATGTCTCGTATCGCATATGTGTTACGTCGGGAATAAGTAGATTCGGACGAATGAGTGCGTCTCCTATGTTTGTTCGCGCAAACTGCGCGCAGAACTTCTACTCTAACCGCGCTTTTGTCTTCACTCCCTGTACCAACGCTTCCGTGTATGTGAGATGTAATTATGCTTTTGGCAAACCTTCTGGACGCATGTTATATTAATGTCTTTTAGACCGAATTTCGGTCACGATGGCCAGTCTAAACGGAGATAGCCATCTATTCTCAGGATATAGGATTATTGATGGACAGGATTATAAAGTTTGTGTGTGCTCAGTTTAATAGGATGGTAATGCGACACGATCGGAGAGTCAAAAAATCTACGAGTTTGCTTTCCGAGGCACGAGCGTGAAACACCGCTAATTTCCCGACTTCGAAGCACAGCAGTATTATGGTGTTATTTTATGCTCATGCTCTGTGTGAGTGTATTTCCAATTCAACCCAATCTATTCACTCTTGTGTTTTGGCTCATGTCAGTCCGGAAGACTGTTGTCTTTAAAGAATTTTATTTCCTGGATTTGTACGATTTCGGAACATATTCAAGTCAAACATGTGGTAAAAATACATTTAATGTTATCAAAAAAATCGTACGTCGTGTAGTTTAATAGTTAAAACAAGGATGTAAGAAGGGAATTAAATTCTTTGTCGCAAATTGATAAAACATAATGAATTCCCTTCATTATGTTCCACAGACTAATATGATGCTTGTTATATAGGTACCTTAGTAATTATGTAGGTTAGGTTGGATGACTACGAAACGATGCTGTGGGACAAATTCAGCTTAGGTTATCCTAACTTTAATATTTGCGGTGCCTTCAGTGAACGGGTGCTAGATAGTTGATTAAATATCGAGTGAAACGTAATTTGAAACGGCTTTAACCAGGTTAAATTAAATGTTGGTTGCCTCGTCATAGAATTTGTGAGAGTTCTACTTGCTCATAATTTGTTGATTAATGACTTGTAAAGTAAGTTTTAGTAATTTAAATGTTCAGCATGTTACTTTTAGAATTTTATAAGCAATGAACGAAAAGATTGATGTTTTTTCATTTTTTTTCATTCATACAGTTGATGCAAGACAAGAGCATTTTAATAGTATTTAGATTTGAGGTTTCTGAAATATTAGAGATTAAATAATAATAACAAACTACACAGGACATAATTATGATACTGCTGTATAATATCAACCTATTGAAACTGAAAATGTACCTTCATATTTTTAACAAATTTAACAGACTACCTTAATTCACTGGGTGTACGGGTAAACGGGAATTCCCCCTATATACACTGATAGGTGAAGCAGGTGTGTGCAAGGGTCGTCGCCTAAACAGTTTATAATTTGGAGGGTTGTATTATTATTAGTAGTAGAACACTATAACTCTTAAAATTTTTACTCCAAAACATTCCAATGGCTATGTTTAGTCATTTTAAAAATAAGAAGTTTATTTTGCAGGCAGGCATATGGAAATACGAGTATACTATGTACTTACAGAAACAGTAACTTTTATAATTCAATATAGATTATAAATAATACTTATTAAAAGATCCAGGAACACATGTATATGTGTTCCTGGATCTTTTAATAAGTATTATTGTGTAAAAATGTGTTAAATATTATTATTGTGTATACAAGAAACAGAATTGAGCCCTGAAGCACACCCATTTGTCACTTATTTACAACTCATACTATTAATGATAACTATTTGCGTTCTGTTATTTAAGTATGAAATAATTAATTTAAGATCATCACTTCTTACACCGTTGTGTTAAAGTTTCCTGATTAATGTTTCATGGTGAACACAATCGAAGGCTTTAGACAGGGCACAGAATATACCTAAAGCATCCTGTGAATTTTCCTGCATCAGTTGTCAAGAGACCACAAGTTTTATGAAGTAAATTGTTTACATTAAAAAAATTACTTTGATCTAGAATATTTTTTTCAAAAAATTTACTAAGCTGGCAATAGAGAAAAAGATCTAATATTCGCGGGGTCCAATGGGCTACCAGATTTAAATAAAGGTATTACTTTACTATGCTTCATTAAATTAAGAAAAACACCAGATTCGATACTAGTATTAAAAATTATAGCTAGTTGAGGTGTGATTGTATCTATTATAGACGAAATAACTTTAACGGAAATCCCTCACAGATCGGCGGTTTTCTTAATATCAATTGTTAAAAATATTTTACAATATCTTTTGATGATACTCTATGTAATGTAAAATTCTTTGTACACGCATTTACGTTTCGTTTAAGTAACTCAAAAAAAAAAGACAGGCCAAAATTATTGGTGTTTCTTGCATGAAAACGCAATTGCAAATGAACAAAACTGTCGTACTAATAATCTTGTTAACGTAACATTGTAGAACAAAAGAAAGTTAAAAAAATTTTTAGAAGGTCACGTTTTCTAGGTTAGTTCTCTAAGCAGTAGTAGTGTTAAAGCTAAAAAAGTCTACGATAGATACTGTTTAATAATTTCGAAACGCTCCATTATCCGTTTCGTTTCGATGACGCAATCGATTCGCTATAAGTTCGTTTTGATTGTTCTAATAGATATTATGAGCGTCACTGTTTCGTAGTCGCTCGAATATGACTGGCGAAAAAATAAAGGTTACTGTTGCTTTAATGTCGAAATTATTAACTTTATGTTCTTATTTTATAGAATGAGGGTGACAAACGAGCACACAGTCCATCTGATAGTAAGTGGATGCTATGGCCCATAGACATCTACATTTACTCGATTAAGAATAAAAACGCAGATGCGTTGTCACCCCCGACTAAGATGGAATGCCTCGTTTCCTGTAAAAAAGGGTCCCCAGATCACTATACTCTCCATACGAAATACAGTAGTATGTTATTTTACAGCAGCTATTTACGCTGGTATTATTATTATGGTATATATATTCTATGAGAGCGTGGTCCTTCCCCGGTCGAGTCGACCCATTCGTACTACAACCATAATATAGCTGCAGCGTGGCTCTACCACGTATAAAATTATTATGGAGATATAAACTTTAATCAAAAGACCGCCATTTCTAAAAACTTTAGATAAATATTCTATTCGATAGCTTATATTATTTAAAATAGTTATAAATAAACTTAATGCACTGATATGTCCGATTTATTGTAGCCAGCAAGCACGCTACACAAGCTATAATTATTATAATAAGTCTAGGAAGTTTTACTTGGTGGAAGATTATATTTTAAAATTACTAATAAAATTGCAAGTAACTATATGTCGTAATGATGACATGATAATATTATGATGTCCGGTTATTTACTATTTATAAATTAGGTATTTTTAGGGAGAATCCATCACCCTATTACGTCTTGCGGGTGTCGTAAGAGGGGACTATGAGGTATGCCACTTGCTGCCACAAAAAATCTTGTGGTTTCTTCTATATGGTGGTATAACCATCTTTTTTACCACCGACGTTAAATACGTAGACCAGCAAAAAGCAGCAGTGGCAAAGGTTGCAGACGTCTGCCACTCCGATCGTCAATCCGCCTGCCAAACGAACGATTCAGACAAATCCTGCCCAAACCCCTGCCCTGTGTCTGCGTCTGACAAGCTGATAAAGAATAAAGAAAAAATAAAAATATATCCGAAGCACCTTTATGGTTTCAGTAATCATTTTTTTACAATAATACTTAATTCTGCCTGATAACAAACATATTAAAATGGCTACGGCCTTTTAACTCGCCATGAATATTGTCGTGCAACTTTTACTACCACATATTACTTTTTTATTTAAAAACAATACTAGCAATGCTATTAACTAACTAATATACCCTTTGACCAATCCTGATAAGCTTAAAATACTTGTATTAGGAGTGGGTCACGACTCACGTCAGTAGTCGGACCCTCGAGAGGATTCGAAATTTTGAGTTCGCGGTTCGCACATTGCCGTTAGTCTACTGTCGCTACAGGAAAACATTATTTCAAATGGTTATAATTACACAGCAGTAATTATAAAAGGTTAAAAGTTAGAAGTCTCAGTTATTTAAATAGTAATTTAAAGCGATCGTAAGTAAACAGATATGATAATAACGTGTTCGTAACGTGAAAATATGTGTTCTTAATTGTAAATTTTTTTATAGTATAAGGGTGACAAACGAGCACACAGTCCACCTGATGTTAAGTAAATGCTGCGGCCCATAGATATCTATATTTATGTTCAATTAAAAATCGAAATGCAGATGCGTTGCCAGCCCTGAGGACAGAGATGGAATGCCTCGTTTCCAGTAAAAAGAGTCACCGGTTCTCTACACTCACTATACGAAACACAGTACCATTAAGTTGCTATTTTACGCTGGTATTCTGTGAGAGCGTGGTCCTTCCCCGGTCGAGCGGACCCATTCGTGCTGCAACCACAATATAGCTGCAGCGTGGCTCTACCACGTAAAAAATTAAAAAACGTACATGACTGTAGGCCGTTATTTTTTTTTAAATGTCCCGCTGGGTTTCTTGCTGGTTCTTCTCAGGGCAGAGGCTTTTTTCAAACCAGTGATAAATAAAAAAAGGACTTTCAATATGTATAATTTATAATCTATATTGTAGAATGTATAATATTTAATCAATTCAATATGTATAATATATAATCTATATTGTATAGAAGAGCGTTTCTGTTTCTGTTACAGTTTAGGAAACACTGGTCTAAGCAAAATTTTTTATAGCGAATTGCGCAAACTTATTGCTGTCTACTCCGACTCTATTTACCTTTAGAAAAACGGACAGCAGTTGTTTAAGATATCTCGTACGAGAATCATTCATATCCGACCGCACTTATGTTTAAGCGGTTTAGTTACTTACTCATGTGAAACGAATAGTTAGGTTGTAGTCAAGGTTGTATTAAGGTAAATAATTACGACACGTGATGATGTTTATATAAGGAAGGTTTCCACGTATGAATCTATTGAGAATACTATAGTTACATTGAATAGCACCAGCCACTACGGAAATTGTACTAAAAAAGGATACTTTTTAATGAGCTCCGAAGCATTGTGTACGCAACATTGTGAAAATTTCCTCGTCGGAGCCTAACGAGGTAGGAAAATGTGGAGTTGTCAGGCACTTAGATGATTTTCTGACGCCTACTGAAGAGTTTTCTCTCGTCCCCTGTGATTGTTTCAGTTGGAAACATGAAAGCGTCGGCGTGCCGAATGATGATGACCTTTTTCATAGGTGAGTAATAATACCTATAATTTAAAACGTTAAGGGTATTTTGTTCTTCCTTTAGTAAAGTTTATTTAATATCTGTAAAAATGGTCCAAATCACGAATCTAAGTCCTTTTTTGACGTTTTTGAAGTGACATCACTAATATTAATATTTTTTTATCCTCCATGGAACGGTTTGACACTTTTTCTCCTATCATTTCCCAAAATGCACTTTCCGAATGATAAAAGTTGTTTGATTCGTTCCATGTAACAAAATAAAAAAATATCATGTTGTTCTATATAATATTCAAAGTAAAAAGTCCCTATGGCCAATAAAGTTTACTCATTTTTTTCTTGCAACATGACACATGCAAAAACTGTTTTACGACGTAATTATGTAAAAATTGATAAAAGCAAAGCAGAATATGTTAAGCTTGTAATAATAATATACAAAAAAATTGAGATAAACAAGTGGTAAAATTAAAAATTTTGTACAACCGACTTCAATATAAATAAAATGAGAACATCATCAATTTAGTCGAAGTCAATTTAAAAGGCATTATTAAGGATAACTCAAAACTACTGGTCAGATCTTGATCAAATTTATATGGGACCACATGAGAAGCACCAGCTTAAAAGAGAAGAATGATCAAAATCGGTTCACCGAGAAAAAAAGTTCTGCTACCTCGGAACTTTTTTTCACACAACACAACAAACAACTTAAAAAAACATAGGTACTGTCGAATTGGGTACCTCCTCCTTTTTAAGCCAGTTAAAAATAATATTATGACGATATATTTATAGAGAATTAATCTTTTGTTGAAGTAACTGCACAAATGTTATCCCACCAATAACATTTAAATGTGAAAATGCGACTATGTTCGGTACAAACAACTTTGGGCGTTGGCGGCTTTGCTAATAAAAGTGTTCGGATATAAAGGGATGCATTACTATACTCTTTGATGGACGCCACGTTTAATAATAGTTACTAATATGTATAATATATAATATAAGCAATCATGGAGTCTATTAGAAACCCTCGTGTATTAAAAATAAG